ATAGTACCTGCCAGTAAATGTCTGTACATTACCTGATAGTCTGGAGAGCTGCGAGTCCCAGAGGAAGACTTGAAGGGATAGAATCAGTTCTTATGTCCTCAGATAAAGGTAACTTTAAACTGATTATGATTAAAATTATACTGGTAAGAAATTATCATCTCCACTAAAGAGATTGCATGAATAGAAATAGCTGTATTTTGTACTTATCTAGGCTTTATAAATCGATGTACGCAGTTAGCACGTGAGCATGTCCAAGCCTGGTGTTCGATGGGCAAGTACAGGCAATGGCAGTACTAGCCAACAGCTCTCGCTGAATGTCCCGCCGACTCTGTCACTGCTCAAAAAGACTTTCTGTTCTTCTTCTTGACCTGCCCGTGGCAGCACTTACCACTCGCAAGACAGGCATGATCTGCTCTACGTTCTCCCACCCTTGCAGATTTTAAATTCTTTGCATTTTCTGCGTACAAATAGCAGGCTGTGTTTCCAGTGGTTGAGTGGGAGCCACTCTGATTGCAACGCCTGTATTTAGCTATTTTGAAAGGAAACTTTCAAGGTCATTTTGAATATGTCGTTTTTTATTCTTGCAAGGCCTGATTTTAGCACCTATGAGCAATGCCCGGTGCAGAACCCCAAGAGGAAAACCTGTCCATGAACAGGTATGGCGTGCACAACAAAGACCATGTCCAGCATTCATGCCTCTGCCTCCCTTCTGCCCACGACCAACACCAAGAGCTGCAAAACTGATGCCTCTGTATGGACAAAGGAAGTGAATAAACCCTTTGTCAGTTTGTTAGAAAAGGGCAGAGGGAAAGGGCACACCAAAGCCCCCTTTGGCTGTAGGAGAAAAGCAGGTGAGCGGCAGCCGGGTAGCCATGTGCTCTGCAGCATTTCTTCCCCTGATGATGTTGGGGCTGCCCAGCAATGCGCTGAGGAGGTGCTGGCATGAGGAGAAGTCTCAGCTGGAGAGCCCGAGGAAATCGCGGATCAACACATCTTTGCGAAGGTTCTCGCGTATCGGTGGCTGCAGCAGGGATTAAAGTTATGTCCCAAGAGACGTGCTGGAAGGAGTGCGTCTGCCACGCCGAGCCTTTGCTCTGTGAAGGTGGCCTGGTGGATCGGAGAACTGTAACTGAATGCTTCTTTGCATCTGCAGTGATGGAATTAGGAGCCAAAGCCTTAGGTAGGTTGGCCTCACAACAGCTCCAGGTCTCTCCTCTCCCGGCCAGGCTGATGCTGCAGTAGTCCCTGACCGCAGCAGAGGGGCTGAGGCAGATCAGGAGAGCGCAGGACAGACCCTCGAATTCCCTTCCCAGCAGCTTCTGTCTTTGGCTGGGAAAAAGCCCCAAAACCTCCCCTAACAACAGGAAAAATACCTCGAGTGGGAGCTGTGCTTGAGCACTCTGATGGCTCGTCACTGTGGTAGGATAAATTAAAAGGCAGTGCCTCATACCAAAGCCTGGTGAATGACATAGGAAGGAAAGATCTTAGACAGTTGTTATTATTTTTTCTTCCATGATAGTTTTAGCTGAATCATGAAGGAATTTGAAACATTGTGGGGAGTGCACTAAAAACAGAAGATGAGCTAAAAGGATTTGGCAGTACTTAAATGCGTTTCAGCTCTTCCCCAGACTATGATGCAGTCTATAGAAAATGCAAGCACACTTTGCCTGGAGACATCTAGGGCTGCAAATTAGGTGTAAGAGGGAGCTGATGTAGTAATCCTGAAACGCTATATCTGTGTGCTCGCTGAAATATGCCTCTCATACTATTTTAAAAATACTTTTATTGTTATAATGCATGGGCCGCCAGCTCCAAATAAGCACAGAGCGCAGAGCTGCAGAGGCAAGTGTCTGCACATGGCATCGTCGCTGGGCCTGTCTCCAGGGTGTAGCATCCCTGTTAAGGATCTGTCCTTGTGTCTTGTCCTCTCCCCGTTGTCTGTCTCCCTTCTGAACCCGCCAAGAAGTGCTTTTGTCGGTTTGTTTCTTCCTATGACCGTTGAACTTTTTTCTCAGATACTATGACTAGCAATAACTTTGAGGCACGATTCCTTTAGACGGCAATGCCCAGCAATCTAGAGCTGAAACACGCCTCTATAACCCTTTGAGCATTTAATGTTTTAATATTTTTTCATTATCTGAATGTGTTTTTTCAACTGACTTTATCATTAATGTAAGAAATTTTAAACCTTTGTAATGAGAATTACAGCTCCTGTAATACGGTACCATACCCTGTAATCGTAGCATAATTTAATACCTGAAGTTTCACAGACAGCTATGATAGATATTTTATGGCAAACAGTTTTTTCCTAGAGAAACCTGATATTTGAAAGGTACTATTTTTAAATATATATAATAGCAAAGCAGCTGGAAAACATTTTTCTCACGTTATCTGAGACTGAGAAAACAAAAATTATTTTCTTTCAAGTACGAAGATTTAGCAGAGAAAAGCCACATTCCTGTGTATATCCTCTACGTCTGAAGCTGTCACTGAAGTTAATGGCATGTCTGTTCATGAGGGACTTGTGAAGGTGGTTCGTTAGACTGTCCTGACAACCCCTCTCTAACTGTCCTTAGTGAGAGCAGCGTGTGCCTCTCTGACTCGGTGTCGTAGACTCCCAGTTGTACCAGCAGAACTGCTGCAGTTGCGCGCTGGCTCTAATTGTCTGCGGAAGTCTATAAAGCAAATTGTGGTTCCTCTTCATACGAAGAGTGGAAGCTTAAAACTGATCGTATAACGTCGCTATTCTGTGCGTCTCTCTCATGTGCTGTGTAAATGAAACCGAGCATTTCAGCTTAGCACTGAAAATATGCAGGGCTCGGGCTGAGAGGGCCCAGGATAACCTGATCTTGGGCCCTGTTTCCAGCAGCAGGTGGGACCAGGTATCTCCAGAAGTCCCCTCCAGGTGGGACTCTTCTACTTGGTTCTACAATTCTAACTTAATGCCACCTGAACCATCACAGTAAATCTAACGGGGGAAAATCGCCGTCTACTAGCTGGCAGCTGGAAACCGCTGTGGTGCACAGTGGCTTTGATTTGGATGAGGAATCGAAATCTGCCAACCCAGCCTAAGGCGCAAACCCACTTAGCACAGCCAGTAAGCTTCATGAAAGCGTAGGCATCTGTGTGGCATCGTCATCAAAAATCTGCCTGGAAGAGGCTTAGAGAAGGATTTGAAAGAGCAAAGGCAGTTGTCTGATATGTGAGCCGAGGAGAGCGGCTCTGGCACGCCGCAACTGAGGCGGAATTACTGCATCCACCCGCTCTGCTACCTCCACCCCCAAAATCTGAAAACTTCCTGATTTGTGTTCATCAATAATTAAGAGCCCATCAGCAATGCTCAGAGGGAGCTTGCATTGCACTTCTGAGCAGCCAGCTAGTAATGTACGGCGGAGAGATCCTCTTTTCCAAGTCCCAGGGCGCCAGGCCGCGCAGTGCTCGTATTGCATTTTCAATTAGCCCCTGAGTGAATGCTTGGCACACGCAGCAGTGAACTGGTACACAATTAGCTTATTGTTCCTTTCAGCTGTGTGCTGAGAGGACCTGAAGGGCTGCAGAAGAGAGGGGGGAAAAAAAGAAAATAGCCGAGCCAGCGGCAGCTGCGTGGATGTGGAATAAGGCAGATCCCCGTGCGGAGTCGGGAGCTACAGCTGCCGGCGGGGAGCCCCCAGCCCGGCTGTAGGGAGGGCGCCCGCGGAGCGGCGCAGGCCGAGTCTCAAGCCCCAGGCTCCTCTCTCCTCTGACTCGCCTCGGCATCACGATGGAGCCCAACAGCCCTAAAAAAATACAGTTTGCTGTCCCACTGTTTCAGAGTCAAATAGATCCCGAGGCAGCTGAGCAGGTAAGGAGGATGAGTTTCTTTTTGGCGTTTTGGGGGAACGGGGTAGGAATGGGGTCACAATGTGGGGTGAGAACAGGCAGTACTTGCGGCCTAAATGCTTTTCTAGCTTATATTAGTGTAACTATAGATTAAACGCTACAGATTAAATGGTTATAGCGATGTTTGGATACACCCAAAGAGGGAGGAGGAGATGGCCACTAGCCAGAATAAAGCTTCTTTACCTTGGGTAGGTTTATTCCATATATATTTGTTGTGCCTTTTCTGTGACTGGACTTGTGCCCTGATACATACACTTCACATGAATACGCATTCTCAACAAATCAACTAAAGTATATTGTTTGTATATAAAGCAAAATGTGAAGCTGGTAGTAGGTACCTAATGGAAGTATTGTGCAGAAGACAACTTATTTACCATTAATTTTAACGTGAGAAAACGTGAGTTACATTTTGCACAGGTTGTTCACTTCAGTTCCCTCCTGTATTTCTCATATTTTTTATACGGTCTTCTCTATGTCATTGTTACAGTGTCTTACATATTTGAAAAAGATATACGTGTAGAAATATGCCTGACTTATGTCCGCGTTGGAATTACGTGTGTACTCTTTTGGGTTTTGACTCCCTCCCAAAATGTACACATACATATAACATATATAGCATTACAGATGTCTAAGGAGGAAAAGATATCTGTGAGTGCGTAGGGGTATGTGTAGCTGCGCATAAAGAAGGTCACAGGGAATCTTATGAGAAAAGCTGGGTAAATTGTAATTAGGTGACCCAGTATATTTCTGTCAGTGCAAGTCCTTCTTGACATTTGCTTCTATTTTTGTAAGTCTAGTTTTAGATGATACCAGGGGAATATTATAACCTTGACGGTTCTGTGCCATTAGCTTCAAAATTATTTGCACCTTTAGGACAGGTATCTGGTTTCCTGAATATTCTGATGTCGTGTCTCTTCAAAGGCAGTTGCCTTTGCCAGAAAATGATGAGTTGTGAGTGACCGCTGAACGAAGAAATGCAAGAAGGGTGCAGGGGAGAATTGGTGCAGGTCTTCATTTTGTCCATAGGTACTTCTGAGCTGCGAGATGTCTGTACCTCATGGAACAGCCCTGCAATGCATTCAAGCAGGATGTGTTCTGATATTCTTCTGAAATCTGTGAGAACCATAGGGTTAGGATTTCCTGGAATTCCCGTGGCTTTTGAAATGCTGTGGCCCAAATTCTGCCCAGTATTTATGGGCAGTCCTTTTTTTATCTTGTGAGTTTAATTCCAAGTGCTATACAGTTTCACTGTGGGTGTATGATGAAATTAAAGTAGTAAATTCTGCTGTCAGCTACAGTTACGCTAATCTGGAATAAACCCATTAACCCTGATGATGTAATTTTCCATTTACACCTCTGAAAGCAAAATTTGAACCCAGCTAAATACAGATGTTGGCTCAGCAACTAAAAAGAACAAACACACTGACATTGAGGTTTTGCGTCAGAATGATTTCTAGATTAAATAGTCTTAGTCCCTCTCTTAAATTCAATAGAATATCAATAGTCTGGAAGCTTTAGTGAAGCAACACAAAGCTTCCAGTGCAAATGTGTGCATACTAGGAGCGTAGTCCAATGTCATGTAGTTCAACCAGTGTTAATGGAACGAAAATACTTAACAAAATAAACTCTGAATAAGAAGAATTGCATACAATTCAGGATTATATATGGATATATAAAGATCTGTGGTACAGTACTCTCTGAAAATATTCTTTCGAAAGTCTTAAGTATTGTTGTTCTTTAATAGTAACACCTCTGGCCACAGTTTAGAAATATCATAAATTCATTGATGGCATACATGCAATATCAACTCTCAATGCACTTACAAAATATTAACGGTTACTTGTGAGTGCTATGACAGTACTAGGTATTATTTGTACACACAAGCTCACAAAATGCTGCGATCATTTTCCTGAAGAAAAGCTAAATGTCAATATTTTAAGATATGTCTGATACATGTCAACAGTACTTGCCCACAAACTTATTCAAGGTGATTGCAAATCCTACAGGTATCTTGGAAAGCTCTCCCCTATGCCTTTGCTTTCCATGAACAAGCAGAAGCATGACTCTGATTACTGTCAGACCGGACGAGCAGACAGTAAGACAGTGATGCGCTGCTGTTCTTTAAATATATTTTCTTTTTTTAATTTTGCCTGGTTTATACTCAGGAGTGCACCAAATGGATTTTTTGCTTTGCTTTGGGTGTGGCGCAGTTGGTGGACCCTAATGACTCTCCTTGGTTTATGCATGTTACAGATCAGGAAAAGAAGGCCTACACCAGCATCACTTGTCATCATGAATGAACACATGCCCCCAGGTAAGTGCCAACATACCTTCTAAACCATTGAACTTGTATACACAGGATTGTCTGCAAATTGGTTTTATTAACTACATGGTTTTAAAAATCCAACATTAGTTTCATAGCACTACATATCAAATAATGGATCTTTGAACAGTTTGGAGTAAACCCCATGAATACATGTAACTTGGCCTCCAGATATGTCAATAATTTCAGGATTTTATCTTCCATGTAAATCTTTTGTTATATGTACAAGGCGAATATGACCCTGATCCAGCATTTCCATCCACAAACTTTTTCTTTCCCTGGGTGGATACTTTGGAGATCCATGAAGTCCTAGTCTTGATTTTCCGATCTCTAGAGATACCAGGGTGGCTCCAGGGCTAGTTCAACAAAGTGAATTGCTTCTGCAAAGAAGGTTGTTTGCTAGTTTTCACATGTTTTGTGATGTTTGTTTTCATTATTCCTTTTCAACGGTGAATACATTACCGTCACCCAAGACTCCTCCCAGAAGATTTTCTGTGGGATGAAACGATTTGAGGTTGCAACATACTTTGTCACATAAATGCGACTTCAGAAGGACTCTTTAATAAGCTGTTTAGGGAGTATTACAAGCAAAAAAGCTCAGCACAAATGGATTGCAGGAAAATGTCCTCAAGACATAAACCCTTTGAAACACACTGCCTACTTTATATCAAAATTTTCTTTTACATAGAGCTCTGCAACACTTTTTTCCTGCCTTCTCTCTTCATCACCTGAATCTTTTTTTAAAAGCAGTTCAGGCTTTTTCTCACTGATGAGTCTCTGAAGTCATTGCTGTATGTACTGGCACCTCAATAAAACAAAACCATCTTAGCTCTATTGGGTTCTCCACTTACTCCACTGTGCTGAGGGTCTCCACTGCTGATTAGCATCACCAGTAGCTGAAGTTCCTCAGAAGGTGCAGAAAGAAGCACGTAGAGAGCCCTGCTCTTGCGGTTGAGATCGTTGCAGCACAGCACACAGATTAAGGAGGTTCAAGCGTGACATACGGCTAAGGTTATATTCTTTTGACACTGAGAGTGACCCATGAGTTTGCTGTGGGGCTAACACCAATCCCAGTCTGGAGAGTAGCTTTCTGGCCTGAATTTTGGGCAGTTCAGTTCTCAGTAGTGGTGCATGAAAGGTCTGCCTTAGACCGACTTCCCTTACCTTAGTGGGATCTGCAGTGTCTGTGTTGCTAGGACTTAATTTAAAGCAAATTCACCTTGGCGGTTAATCCCTTTTGCAATTCTCTTTGTACACTTTGTACCGTCATATTTCCTTTTATAAACAGACACTTGGTACAGTACCAAATCAAAACCAGAAAATAAGAACTCTTTTTAATTTACAGGAAATTTTACTGTAAACAGTGGTGCATGTCTGTTATCTCCTTTCCTGCAACGGTCATAATAAATCTTTAAATAAATCATTTTTATATGAGTCAGGATTGCTGCAAGTATCAGTCAACTTCCATATAAGCCCAAGAACTTGTATATTCACCTTCTTCACTTATAGTTATTCATTTAGATATTATCCCCTCTTATTATATACTGGGAACTAAATATCAATGAAGATATTCTTGGTGACATTATAAACTTGTCTCTTTTTTTTTTTTTAATTTTCCATAAAGTCAGATAAAAATAAAAAATTTAAAAGCACCTTCATTTTCCTGCATCTCACCATGTGATTTATGCATGAGCATGCGTGTGCATATTTCCATATCATATGCTTGATACGGGCAGGTGTTCTGAATGGGTTGTGCACATGTGGCTGTGTAAACCCACTGAACACAAGGACTGCAAAGCCAAATTGGAAAGGCAGACAATAGCTTTACAATGGAAATATAAATAGTAAAAAAAATTCCTTATGGGCTTGATCTTGCAAGGTGCTGTACTGTTTCTGTAATTATTGTATACCTTCAACTTTCAGAGGAGTCAGCTAGTCCTCGGGCTCTCGACGCCTTGCCAATTAAGCCCCAAATGCTGGTCTCTTACTGGATTTTGAACAGCATTTGGTGGGATGCTGAATAATGACTTGTCTCCAAAAATGTTAAATTCACCACTGTACATGTTTACAGTGAATAACTAATAATAGTAAGGATGCGAACTAGAAACTCCAGCAAATTGCTTTAGAAGCATGATTCCCGAGGTCAGTGGGGAAACTGGGCAGCAGTGAATTTAAGTGATAATGTCAAAGCCACCTATTAAATTAGAGCTGGACTAGACCAGAATCCTGTCTCTTGAATTTTACCCACTGGAGTACTCCAATTCCCTCATTAGGAGCAAACAGCTAGTGAACGATATGCTTCCAGGGGTTTGAAATATATGTCCTAATGCAATTCTAAATGTTTGGATGCCCCTGCGAAGTTTACTCAAATTATCTAAACTTCTTTTGTTTTGAAAAACAGACAGGCATTTTCTAAGAATCAGACTTTTCTACAGCCTTCTGTTGCAGCTGCTTCTGATTGCAGCAGGAAAAAAAGCAGCATTTTTGTGGTATTCTGGTGTTCTGGATGCGGACCCATCTGGAAACCAGGAGGCAGTAAAATGTGTCTGGACATTTCAGAACTTTATATTAAATTCAGTTTGAGTTGTGCCTTACAAAGATCTAAAATAGGTGCTTTCTTCTAAGTCTTCTCATCCATCCCTGATGTCTACTACAGCTTTGACAAGAACCTATCTTCACTGATTTAGGTCAGGTCCATTGTGCTATAAAGTGAAGATGGAATATCTACTAAGGCTAAGTCATTTTAAACTGATGACAGCTACTCAAAAACTATAAGAAGAGTCTGCTTGGCTTCCTTGCTTCCAAAGAGGCAGTAAGGGCTAGACCACACGAAATGATTTAAAGACAGGTGGTAGGTGTGACTGCAGGAGCTGGTATCCAGTCTTTAGTATCACTGACAGGTGCATTTTCTCCTGTTCACTCTGGTTGGTATCATATATAATTGCAATCAAAGTCAACAGAAGAGAAATTTGAATTGCAGCAGCACCAATGATTGCAGTGGCCAATACGAGCTTGTGAAGCAACGTAGCAATGAAAAAACCCTTAACTCTTTCTGTAAGTAAGTGCTCTGTAAAATGTTCTGTGATGGGTTATGTCACATCTGAGCAGAGAAGCTAGCGCTAGAAAATTGAGACTCAAGTTACGAAGTTATTTAACTCTAGAGTGCTTTAGTTGCTGTCAATGGAGTTATATTTTGTAAGCATCTGATATTTGACTTCATAATATCTGATCAGTTTTATATTTATTTGAAATTAGAAGACCTTTTTACTATCTGTGAAAGCAAAACCAAATACTAGCGGACAGAACTACAAAAATGTGCAGCATCTTGTCCTGTACAGGATGCCTGTATGGGTCACTGGGGTAACCCACTCGTATTCTGCTATGGCCATGGTCCCTCCATGTCTGTACTTTAAAAAAGGAACATAAGCATATGCTTAACTATTCAGCTGCACAAGAGCTTAATCCAAAAATTGATAAAGCTCTCCTGCTTCCTCTTTCTCTCGCAATATTGGAGCCAACAGAAACTGAAAATCACCATACCTTGAAAGCAGCCTTTTCTGTGCTGCCGTAATGTACTCATAACTTCTTCTCTCTGTACCAAGCATAGCAGAATATAAATGAAAATCAATTCTTATAATCCGAAATAAAAGTCTGACCAGTCTAAACTAGCAGAATATCATACTGTGACAGCTCAAGAAAAAGCTGGTGGCAATGTAGAGAAGTAATGGTTGAGGGAGGAAAGCACGTCAGACCACAGCTCAGGTTTAATGCCATTGGGGCTCCCTGGGATCAGAAAACAATGCCAACGTTCCTGTACGGCCTGGCTTTGTCACAGAGCCAATGCAACATGAGAGAGCCTGGCTGGCAAAGGCTGTTCAACTTGTATCAAAGTGTTTGGTCTTGAAGCATTAGAATACGGGTGAACATTAGGATAAACCTCTGGATTTCTATGTATTTGTTGTTTCCAACTCTCCTTTCCGCTCAGTTGCCTGTTTTGGCTTCCTTGCTTCTAATGTTACTCAGTGTTTGGAAATAAAAAAAACATAGCAATGTGTTTTGAGAACTCTTCTCCAGAGCTGCCTTTTTGTATTTTGCAGATCTCATTTCAAGGCAGAAATCACTTTCTTAATCATTTATTATCACTGCAAAAGCAATATGAAACTTATATGCCAAGTACAAGTCAGTACATCTGAGTTTTCTGAAGGCTGGAAATCATAACTTGAAGATAAGCAAGCTGTACCTGTCCCCAGGCAAGGAGCTTGCTTGCACCTTGTCTCTGAGCATTAGCAGTTTTTCTGTCTTGTTCCCAGCTGATTTTCTGTTGTCCAGGGAGGGATTCATGCCTGTCAGCTTACTGCCACTTCCCCAGAGGTCTGGTGAGATGCCTCAGGAGCAGCCTCAGTATTTAGTGTGGTAGCAAACAACACAGCCAGATGGGTGATAGGAGGAAAAACTGTCCTTACACCTGTGGCAATCCCACAACAAGCCAAAGTAGATTAGGTTTTTCATGCTAAATTGGTTCTAGACACTCGCAGACTTTCCCCGCACAATAAATCTCATTACCACATATAGATGTACTTTTCTGATGACGCAAACTATGCCAGCACCACATCCTTGAGGGGTAAATGCAATAAGCTCTACCCAACATTGATGTTTGTGACTAATATTTGTTAGATTACGCTTCTAGATGAATTAATGTGCTTGTTTTAAATCTAATGGTCACTTTTTTTTTCTCCCAAGACAAAATAAACTGGGATCAGAAAAGACCTCCTAGGTAGGAGGCAGCTGCTTCTGCCTGGTATACTTTCTCACGCAAAAGCCTCACTGAAACCTGAAGCAGCAGAGAGCTCTTGGTCTCACTGTTCATGGAAACTGATATGTTTTTCAAAAGCTTGAGATTCTGGTAGGACATACTGCTTGCTTTGGTTCAGGAAATAGAAAGTGAGTAAGCCAAATAGCAGCTGTTTTCAATTGCAAATTTAGGCTTCTAA